CCTTCTGAGCTTTGGGACTTTTCCTTTCTTCCTGGAATCTCTGAGTACACTGGGACACTTCCCTGTTTCTCTGGCTCCCACCCAGTTTTGCAAGGTTCCCACTACAGAGAACTTCTAACTCATATTAAGCTTTTACATACTCTAGAGTTGCCTTGTGGTTATCCATGTCTGAATAATTATAGATTCAGTTAACGTTTTAATAATTTATAAGGTTAATTATCTCTCATATCGTATACATTTTCTCATTATTTTGTCATATGTGTTTAGGATAATTTAGTTTCTGTTTTTTAATAGTTCATGGTATTAGACAACTAATTTATAAAGTCAGACCAGTAAATTGGCTTGTTAGGGGAAACCATTCCTCCATACTGTCACATCTCACCTCAGTAAAAGAGGGGGCATGGGGTTATGCCAGGTGTCAGCACATTTATTCACAACAGAGTATAGAACAAAAGTGTTAGGACAGACCTTTGCATGGCAGGGAAGCCGTGTTAATGTTTTGACATCGTGGTTTAACCGGAGCCCCAGGTAACTTGTTCTGCACCTCCCCACCACCTCCCCTAACCTCCCCACCAATTTCTGTCTGCCTTTCCCACCAGTCAACCCTGAGATGCCCCAAATAGGTCCCATTTACCCATGTACAAAGGGGAGTACGGAAGACACAAAGTCCCCTCACCCCAACTTTCACCTTTGGGATTGAATAGCTTGGAGCAGGGAAAGTGAACTGTGATAAAAACCAAGTGAGGACTTTTAAAGAAGCATGGACAGAAGCATTAAGAATAATATCTGACTGCAACTTCAGAAAAAAGTGCACCAGGGGAAAATAAAGTCTCAGCGGATGTTCTGAAACTGCCCGTAAGAAAGGGCTGCGACGAATCATCTGAGCTTTGGACTCAATGGGGTTTGGCTGGTCCTGTCTGCACCTGCTGAGCCAGATGCTCTGGCGGCTGCCTGCAAGCACAGAGCAGTCTGCTTGGCTCCATCTTCAGCGAGAGTCCTTCAGCTCCCTCACGGAGCACTCACCAGTGTGTGACAGCTGTCCACGAAGCTCTGCAACTTGCGCAAGTGCTGAAGTGCTGCACGTTTACTCTTCTGACTGTTGGGGAGACTTCAGGAGATTGGGTTATCAGCCGTGGGCAAACTACGGCCCGCGGGCCGGATCTGGCCCGTTTGAAATGAATAAAACTAAAAAAAAAAAAAGACCGTACCCTTTTATGTAATGATGTTTACTTTGAATTTATATTAGTTCACACAAACACTCCATCCATGCTTTTGTTCCGGCCCTCCGGTCCAGTTTAAGAACCCATTGTGGCCCTCGAGTCAAAAAGTTTGCCCACCCCTGGGTTAGGTCTTTGGCTGCTGACGGGTATTGTTGCTGAGAGCTTTCACTTTGTGCTTTGGTCAGGGTGGCTCACAGCAGTGCTTGCTGATAGCGCAGGCTCTCTCTGTTTGCAGACCCGTGTCCCACAGAGGGCATTCCAACAGGGTGTCAAGGAGGCACACCCTCGCAAGGGATACTGGTGTTTCAGAGATCTAGCAGGTAGGGGCAGAAGTTCTTGCTCATTAGGAATGGGACCCGGCATGGATGGCATCCGGAGCTTTCCTCCTGCACGGGCAGTGAGTGTGCTGATTTCCGGGGTTTCCAGCTGTAGCAGTCCCGCATCGTCCTCCGCACGGGGCTGGGGTTGCTACTTGATACACTGAAGCCTAAATAGTTGAGTATGTCTCCACTCTCAAGTCTTTGGTGGCATGCGTCCCACAGGGATATGAGATCTTCTTCAAGATTTCATTGAAAAGTACATGATTTGCTTCTTCACAAAAATAAACAGCCGTACAAACACCTGGCTGCTGTCCACCTTCACCAGCATCTCATTCACCCTCAACAGCCAGTTGCTGCCAGTTGCCAGGGCTACCCACCCCGTGCAGAACTTCATGGGTTTACAACAGTGATTTTCAACCTTGTTCATCTGATAGCACATAAACTAATTACTAAAATTCTGCAGCACCGATCTGACAAAAAAAAAAAAGTATAATTTTAATTCATTCGCACCGGATGGCTATTGTTTTGTTGGCTGTTGTTTCTTTATTTGACAGTCTACGTGAAAAGAGGTCACTGCCCCTGACTGAGTAGTCAGGTATTGCATGTTTTAAAAATCAGTGTGGCACACTATTGCCCTGTACCGTGCGCTCAGCTTTCCTGGAGCTCCTTGGCCATTTCCTCATGGGGGAAAACCAAGCCAGACTTGGCCAGAAACATGGCTGTGTGGGCAGGTCTAGTATTCTAACAGAAAATAAATAAGATAATTTCTAAGTGGGTAAATTAAAAAGTAGTAATGTGAGCATTTATCCAGAAACATAGATGTGATTAAAAGAAACTTAAAATCAAAGTAGTTACTTTTGGAGAGGTGGGATAAGTTGGAGAGGGGCAGATAGTATGGAACAGAGAACTGCTATATTTCATTACTAGAGGCCCGGCGCACGAAAATTCGTGCACTTGCGGGGGGGGGGGTCCCCTCAGCCCAGCCTATGCCCTCTCGCAGTCTGGGACCCCTTAGGGGATGTCCACCTGCCAGCTTAGGCCCACTCCCCAGGGGATCGGACCTAAGTTGCAGTCGGACATCCTTAGCGCTGCTAAGGAGGTGGGAGGGGCTCCTGCCACCTCTGCTGCGATCGCAGCCATCAGCCCAGTTTGTGGCTGAGCAGAGCTCCCCCTGTGGGAACACACTGACCACCAGGGGGCAGCTCCTGTGTTGAGCATCTGCCCCCTGGTGGTCAGTGCACATCATAGTGACCGGTTGTTCCGCCTTTAGGGTCAATTTGCATATTACCCTTTTATTATATAGGATAAGCCACTTAGTAATACAATTTGACTTTTAATGTTTGTTTTATTTTAATAAAAGTAGAAAATATTACAAGACAACTACAATATTAGTAGACTTATTCTAAAGAATTATGAAGAGGGGGTAAAATTGAATAAAATGAAGACTGATACTGAATGAAGTGTGGTGAGGGCGGTGGGGTGGGGTGGTGTCTAGCTTCACTCTCTTACAGTTATCCCAGTACCATTTGTTGGAAAGATGATTCTTTCCTTCATTGAATTGTCTTGTCACCCTTGTTGAAAATCAATTGACTATGAATTTATGGATTCTCACTTGGTTATATGTCTATCTTTGTGCCTTTCTTGAGTATTGTAGCTCTTAGTCAGATTTGAAATTAAGTATGGCTCTCCCAGCTTTGTTCTTTTTGAAGATTGTTTGGCTATTCTGTGTCCCCTGCATTTCTCATATGAGTTTTAGGATCAATTATCAATTTCTGCAAAAACGAACAAACAGGCATCTGAGATTTTGATAGTGATTACATTAAATCTGTAGATCAGTTTGTGTATATTGCCATTTTAACAGTTTGTGAATATGGGATATCTTTCTATTATTTGTCATCTTTAATTCTTTTAATGACATTTTATAGTTCCAGTATACAAATCTTGCACTTCTTTTGTTACATTATTAATAATTGTTTTATTTTTGATGCTGTTGTAAAAGGAATGATTTTCTTAATTTCATTTTCAGGTTGTTCAATGCTAGTGTATAGAAACACAATTGATTTTTGTATTTTGATCTTGTATCCTGTAACCTTGCAGAACTCATTTATTCTAATAAATTTATTTGTATATTCCTTAAGATTTTTTATATATATAAGATCATGTCAAAAAAAGATAGTTTTACTTATTCCTTTCCAATTTTAATGACTTTTATTTCCTTTTCTTGCCTAACTGCTCCAGCTAGAACCTCCAGTACAGTGTTGAGTAGAAGTGGCAAGAAAGAGTAGTCTTCCTTGCCTTGTTCAGTCTTTCACCATTAAGTATCATGTATGTAAGCTATGGAAATTTTCATAGATCTCCTTTAACAAGTTGGGGAAATTTCCCTTCTATTAATGTTTTTTAATCATGAAAGAATATTGGATTATGTCGAATGTTTTTTCTTTGTCTATCGAGGGAGATATGTGGTTTTTTGTTTTTGTCCTATTAATACAGTGTATTACATTGATAGATTTTCATATGTTGATGAACCACCCTTGCATTCCTGGGATAAATTGTACTAGTCATTGTATAAAATCCTTTTCAGTCTTGCTGGATCCAGTTTGCTAGTTTTTTATTAAAGATTTTTACATCTTCATTTACAAAGAATATTGACTGTCATTTTCTTGTGATGTCTTTGTCTGGATTTGGCATCTCATAGAATAGTTGGGAAGTATTTCCACCTCTCCTTTTTTGGGGAGAGTTTGTGAAGAATTGGTTTTAATTCTTTAATATTTTATAGAATTCACCAGGGAAGCCATCTGATTCTGGGCTTATGGAAAGTTTCTTTTTTTATGTTAATCCTTACCCAGGGAAATTTTTCCATTGACTTAGATAGAGTGGAAGGGAGGGAGACAGAGAGAGAGAGAAAAACATCAATGTGAGAGAGACACATTGATTGGTTGCCTCCTGCACATGTCCTTGACCAGATTTGAACCTGAGATCCTCTAACCACTGAGCAAACCAGCTAGGGCTATGGGAAGTTTCTTGATTACTAATTACTATACTTTTAAAATTTATTTATTAAAATTTCTTATTTCTTCCTAAGTAATGTTTTTTAACTTGAAGTTATAAAATAAGTGTAAGATTATAAGCATGTATAAGGTAGCCTGATAAAGCCCAAATTACATATAAAAACCTGTCCTGCTACTAATTCATGGGAAGTCAATTTGAAACATAGTATTTAGCAATTCAATTTTTTAAAATGTGACTTTTCAAAAGAGTGTTCATTGTTAATGCCCTTTTATTTGAATTATTTTATAATCGTATTTCATAATGACTTGGGATTTAAGGCTTTTTAAAATTTATTGAGGTGACATTGGTTAATAACATGTTTCAAGTGTACAGTTCTGTAATACATCATCTTCACATTGCAATGTGTGCTCACCAAAGGTTTTATTTTAATACGTTGTTTTTATCTCAGCAGAAATGCAGCAAGTGTTGGATAACCTTACGGAGCTGCCCTCATCTACGGGAGCAGAAGAGATAGACCTAATTTTCCTCAAGGGGATTATGGAGAATCCAATCGTAAAATCACTTGCTAAGGTATATTGGTTTATTCATAAGATTACTAAATTATTTTTTTAAATTATTTTTACAGCGGTCTTTTCAGATATTACTGTGTTAGAACTTAGGCTTAGTTAGCAAATAATACGTACCACATAATGAAATCTCAGTATACATCAAAATTGGACCACTTTATGCTTTTTCTGTGCTGACTTTAAATACAGGATGAAATGACCTTTAGTTATATGGCCTGTGTTGTAACACATTTAAAATTTTAGGGAAATCATAACTGAACCGTCATGTTACAGTGTAGTGGGCCCTATGAAAAAGATCCTGGTTCTATCTTTATTTTTAACAATAGCAAGATGCTGACTTTTTTTATATTAAATTTATTGGGATGATATTGGGTAATAAAATTATACAGATTTCAGGGGCTGGTTTTCTTTTTTTACATTAGACCATGCACCTATTTTAGACTTCTTATACTAGTACTTTTTGAAATCTTATTTTCTCTTGGCTAACCCTGGTATTTTAAGTCTCTTTCCATAATCAGTTCTGTAATAATTTCTTTAACTCACTCATCTTTTATAGCTATTTTTGGCCCAGTTTTTTTTCTCTTATACTATTTTCCTGGAATAATTTTTATATACATCACTAAAGCTTAGTGCATTCCTGCTTCACAGCCCTGCCCTGCCACTCTTTCGTGTTCAAATGGTTCTTGCTCTCTGACCTTTTCTTCACGTAGCCATTTGTCATTCCCAGAATATTGATTTCACCCTCTCCTTTGATCATTTTTTAGCCACTTGTTTTTTCCTGAGACTTCTGAAAAACCCTACCTTTTATAAAATTTTCCATTGGTATGAGCTAATTAATAATGCAGATTCTTTATTTTATTCATAAACTTAATCTTCCTAAGATCACATGACAAAAGGTTTGGGCCCCTAAGTAGCCACTTGCAGATTGCCCAACTGGAAGTTTTACATATATACTAGAGGCCCGGCGCCAACATTAATCTTACCATACATTTCATCTTTCTTCTATTATCATTAATGGAGAATAGTATTTGTCACTTTAGTTATAGTCCACAATTCTTGTTAAAAAAGATTTTTTTTGTTTGCAAGCATGGTTGGACTGTGCTTGGGTGAAATACTCGGAAGTTCTGAAAGAGCATTTTCTTCTCTGCAGTTTGTTTTTCTAAGGTGCAGTGATGAGTAAGGTTCTCAGAACTGGCCGTACAAGAAGGCTAGGCCAGTCATTGTGTTTTCTTCCAAGCACTTGTGGCAGGTGACATATTTTTACTGAATTATGCTAGCTTTCTAGTAGTGCTTTTTCTTAAAGGAAACAAGACCCATTTATTCAAATGCATGTGATTCATTTATCAGAGTTTCCTTTGTCCTTGGTTTGATTAAATTCCAGTTGGTACTCTTGTCTCTTGAAATCTACTAAATAAATTCTGACTTTAAATTTCTTTTACAAAATCTTAGAGCTAAAAAGCTATATATTAAAAAAGCAATCCCATTTACCATTGCAACAGCAAGGTGATGTTAGCATGGCTGTTTGTATAGTGAAAAAGTCAAATAAGTTGTGTAGGTAAGAGCTCAAGCCTTGATGTTATACTACCAGACTCTGCTACTTACTAGCATTGTGAACTTAAGCAAATCACCTTATCTCTTTTTGCATCAGTGTCTGTGTCTGTAAGGAGGGTGATAATATACCTAGTTTTGCTGAACACACACACACATACACTTTCTTACACTATTCTCAGGATATAGTTCCTCACACACAGACGCAAGCCCTCAATAAATGTTAACTTTTTCTTTTTGTCTTAAGCTTTCTTATATTATCATAAGAGAGTTAGAGTATTGCAAGGTTAATGATGCTAAATCAGATATTTATTAAAGTAAGTATCTGTATTAAAACAGTAATTCTTGCTTTTTTTTGTAAGAGTTAGCTAATTATGTATGTTATTTTAGTTTTTTTCCAATGTTGATATTTATTCCGTGATATGTATTGAGTGTCTTCATTATCCTATTCTTATCAAGCTTTTAAAATATTACACACTTGCCTATTCTCATTCTCTGGCATTTCTAGTCTTCTTAATTTTTTCTTATCTAAATCTAATAGAAACTTTTCCTTCTATTTAAATTACATTTGGTCTTTTGACATTTTTCTTTGTTTAAAAGCAGTTACAATTTCTTCTTCATCAGTTTATTTCATGTGATTTAAAATTTCTTCTGAGGTGTTTCTTTAAAATGTTGCTTAATATATAGCCCCCCGTTCTACTTAAAAACTTGTTTTACTTTGTGAATCACCTAGGAAAAAATACATCTAAGTGAAAAATTGCATTTTAAAAATTAAAATGTGTATTTGGACTCTGAAGGATTCTTTCTATGATAGAAATAACATTTAAGTATTATAGGTATCAAATAAGGTGTAATTGATAGTTGCCACTTGAAATTAGGATTTTTCTTCAGCATTTACAGAAATGAATCTTAAAATATTATGTGTAAGACTTGACATCTTACATGGTTTCATTTATAAACTAAATCTTAATAATTATGATTTGCTATCTTCAAAATCAGACTGCAAGCATTTACCAGAAACACAAAGAACACTAAAATATGAAGACTGCATAGTGTTCATTCTCAGTTTGAATGTAAAACTCTGCTTTACTCCTTCAGTGAAAGGGTAATTAGGACTACTGATTTTCTGTGACAGTGTGATTCATGGTCCACTTTATGTGGAAAAGACTATGAGATTTTTAAAAAACAGCTTAAGATATATAGACATGAAATGACACCATCCTTTAAGGTCCAGTTCAAGAACTGCCTCCCCAAACTGATTTATTTGCTGATTTGGACTCTGAGTTTCCCAAAATGATTTTTATGATTTTTTGAATGGTAATCTATATAATGATTATGTTCCTAATAAAGCTTCATCTAGACCAGGGGTGGGCAAACTTTTTGACTCGAGGGCCACAATGGGTTCTTAAACTGGACCGGAGGGCCGGAACAAAAGCATGGATGGAGTGTTTGTGTGAACTAATATAAATTCAAAGTAAACATCATTACATAAAAGGGTACGGTCTTTTTTTTTTTTAGTTTTATTCATTTCAAACAGGCCGGATCCGGCCCATGGGCCGTAGTTTGCCCACGGCTGATCTAGAGTTTGAGCCTAGACCAGAAAGTCATTAGGAAATTCTATTGGATAAGAAATATGTTTTTTATTGTCATTTGGCCTATTTAGTGTTTGTTGTTGTTGTTTCTTACTGATTTCAGAGAGAGGAAGGGAGAAGGGGAGAAAGATAGAAACATCAATGATGAGAGAGAATCATTGATCGACTGCCTCCTGCATGCCCCACACTGGGGATCGAGCCTGCAACCTGGGCATGTTCCCCAACTGAAAATGGAACCATAACCTCCTGGTTCATAGGTCAATGCTCAACCACTGAGCCATGCCAGCCTGGCATGGCCTATTTAGTTTTTTCTCATAGTTAAATTATAAAAATGAGTTTTTCATGGCTTAGGATAGGAATAGAGGCCAAGATTTATTATACTGCATGAAAACATTTACTTAAAAATCTATATATTGCCTCTGATTGAAGTATTAAATTTGGTTTCAATGAATCACACTTTTAAGTCATATCTTTTAAAGCTTTATGAAAAAGAAGCAAATCAAGAGGAAAACCACAGTCTGGAGTCAAACAATATGTGTTATTACTTTTCCTATACTGTCTTTTCAAAGGCTCATGAGAGACTAGAAGATTCAAAACTAGAAGCTGTCAGTGACAATAACTTGGAATTAGTCAATGAAATTCTTGAAGATATCACTCCTCTAATCAGTGTGGATGAGAATGTGGCAGAACTGGTTGGTATACTCAAAGAGCCCCACTTCCAGGTAAGCTTCCCAGCTCTTCTCTCTTCCCAAATAGTCTCCTTTCGCAGTGAAGTTCCAGTTTGAGAAGAGGTTTTAGATATTATTTAGGTCCATATTTTGAAGTATGTAAATTCCAACATAGATGTTTTAATATTCTGACATTCTGAGGACACAAATACACACGTGTAACTAAAGCACATTACATCAATATATGAAGTCTGTCACAAAAATACATCAGGAAGGATTTTTCTTTGCGTAATTAAAAAAAAAAAGCCAAATCTGATTCATCATCAGACCATATGCTAGAAATACCTTTCTCTGTGATAGTGACTTTTCTTCCTCACTACCACTGTTTCCCAGACCTCCTTGTGACCAGTCATACATGTTTTCAGTGTTGCTTCTAGGATTGGGGTGTAGTTGATAACCTTAGGACATCAGAGAGCTATGTAAGGATAGGAAATATAACATAACATACTTTTAAGAGATACAAAAAATAAGTGCAATTTAAGCATTGGTCTATATCCAGGGTCGGCAAACCACGGCTCGCGAGCCACATGCGGCTCTTTGGCCCCTTGAGTGTGGCTCTTGCACAAAATACCACGTGCGGGCGCGCACGTACAGTGCGATTAAAACTTTGTGGCCCATGCGCAGAAGTCGGTATTTTGTGGAAGAGCCACACTCAAGGGGCCAAAGAGCCGCATGTGGCTCGCGATCCGTGGTTTGCCGAGCTGCAGTTTGCCGACCACTGGTCTATATCAATGAAGAGTTAATCATTTTAACAAAGAAAAACCAGTTTCAGGAGAGAAAGGGAGTGGAGGAGATTTCTTATAAATCTGTAATGAAGGCATTGTGGTATTGGGTCAGCATTAGGAAAATAGATTAATCGACAAGAATAGCAACCCTAGAAATATATCCACACGCATATGGCAACCTGTCTGATAGAGATATTACATTTTAGTGGGGAAAGAATGGACTGTGTAATAAATGGTTGTGGGGTAGAGAAATAAAGTGTCACTTGCTTTCCACTGAAGATCTTGGGGGGTAGCACCCCTTTTTCCTCAAAGACTTTCTCTGACTCCAACAATGTTAATGTAAAATATGAAGATTTAGAGTGAGATGGTTCCTACAGAAATCAGTATCTTAGGTACAAAAACATGGACACATCAGACACACCCATTATGCAGGGGCCAGTTAATTGACGCCTTATAAGACATACTAAGGTATTGGGACTTTATCCTTAGGACAGTGGGAAACCATGGGTGGGGATGAGAGGAGGCATTTAACTGGGAGAGGTCTGATTATGGAGCTAGATTGTTAAGTACTGAGGCAAGAAATTGGGATGGCAGTATAAAATGAGGATTTTCCAGTGTTAAGCCATAAAATCAACAGGACATGGTGACTGGTTACATGTGACAGTTGCAGAAGAGAGATGTGGGAAGTTGATTAAGGGTAGGATTTCTGACCGTTGGCATCACTGAGGTTAGGAACACTCTAGCAGAATCTGAACATGTGAATGTTGAGGTAACTGGCCATATTAGGTCTGTGATACCTCAGAAGCATCTGGGTAGTGCTCTTAGGCAAGCTATCTATTTTAAGTAAATACATAAAACTTAATAGGTATACATTTATATAGTTTAATAAATACATAAAACTAGAAAATAGCAAACAAAAATACAAAAATTAAGACATTGTATTCTTATGACCCAAATTACTATACTATCTTAGTGCATATTCCTCCCATTTTTTTCAGTGCATAAATGTACTTTCTTTTCTTTACTAATTGAGATCATTTTTCACAAGGTATTTTATAATTCACCCTTTTTTTCAATCATTGATTGCCACTTCTCCATTTAAGTGGACCTCCATCTCAGGTGCACATACTATATTCAAATGTCTTTATTTGATGCCAAAATATTCTTTACAGCTGGTTTGTACATACAGGCTTCCAACCTCGGTCCATGTGCAGCATCTGGTTGGACCATCTCTCTCCCTTGGTTATGATGTTGACCTTTTGAAGAGGTTAGGTTATTATCCTGTGGCATGTCCCACTTTCTGGATGTATCTGGTTGCTTCCCTACTGTTTAGTTATCTATCCTTTCTAGTTCCTGTAAACATAAGTTCTATCTAAAAGGTCGGTATTCAAGTTAATTATTTGGAACTCGAATTCATTTTAAATGATGTGATGCAACATGAATTAAATTGTATCAGAAATGTGTAGTGCCTGGTTGGCCCACCACTATTGACGCTGAGATTGGTCCCTGATTAAGGGCAATGACAGTCTAACCCTTCCTTTGAAAGCTTTTCCACTAGAAGTAATCTAGTATGTTATTATTCTAGCATTATACAAATTCTGTTTCCTTTCAACCATTTACCTACATTAATAATCCTTGCCTGAATCAATATTTTCATTAGAGCTTGTACATGACATTTTTCAGATTCTCTCACTCTGCATTTATTAGCCAGTGTTCTTATATAAAAAGGGTTTTTCCTCATCAAGTGGGCTATTGAGCTACTCTGTAATGCATTTCCCACTGAAACATCAGTGAGATGCTTGATCCTTCCCTTTACCAATTTTCAAAGTAAAGAATTACTTAAAATAGCATTGGTCTATAATATTAATGAAGAGTGTTTTCAGTCTTTTGTTTTTTAGCACTGTGGAGTTATGGATTTTTCATTAATTAATATGTTTCAGTCCTCTACAATGCTTAACTCTTTGATTTTCAAATTATCATAATTGTGTTATGTTGTAGGCAGATTTTTAGTCTATTAATCTGACATAATGAAAGATCTGGATCAAAGGTATAAAATTGGGGATTAATAATATATAAATAGTGGTTCAAGTCACAGGAACAAATATTTCCTAAGAGGAGAGAACAGAGTGAAAACAAAGACCAGGTTAGAGATTTGAGCGACTTCAGCATTTATAGGAATAATCCTCTTACACGGATTTGTTCCCTTTTCCTTTTTGAAATTTTTCTTTAGTCTCTTACACATATTTTTATGAAATAGCCAGAAATTATCCATGAAACCTGCATGTTAATTATTTATATTTTGAACCAGTTGACATTTGCTCCCTTCATATTTAAAAAAATATGTTTTTATTGATTTCAAAGAGAGAAGGGGAGTTAGAAACATCAATGATGAATCATTGATCAGCTGCCTCCTACACGCCCCCTACTGGGCATGTGCTCTGATGGGGCGCTGAACAGTGACCTCCTGGTTCATGGGTCTATGTTCAAAACACCGAGGCATGCCAGCCGGGCTCTTCTTTGCATTTTGATTTATGGTTTTTGAACTTGCATTTTAACATCTCAAAACATTTTTTTAACCTAGCTTTATGTTTTGAATCCTTACAGTCACTCTTGGAAGCCCATGATATTGTGGCATCAAAGTGTTATGATTCACCTCCATCAAGCCCGGAAATGAATAATTCTGTTAATAATCAGTTATTACCAGTAGATGCCATTCGTATTCTTGGTATTCACAAAAGAGCTGGGGAGCCATTGGTGAGTAGATAAATTGGTGCCTTCTTCAAACTGAAGCTGCCATATTGTTGCTCAGTCCTGCTCTCATTTTCTTCTCTTTCATAACTCGTATCATAATGAAAACTTCATTTGTATTTGTTTTATGTGGTTTTTGGCCTCTGTATAAAATATACTCCTGATGCAGTTTCAACTTGATTTAGCATACAGACTTAAACCAAGATAAAAGTTAAATTGAATTAGAGGCCAGAATAAGTACTTTATTTTTTTCCTATGCCCTTTGAAGAAATTAGCTCAGATTACTTGCTAATGAAGTAGCAAAACACGGAAGAAAGTTGTTATTAAAAAGTGAAGAAATGGTAGGGAGGGCTCTGTAAGTAGTGAAGTTTATAATTTCCTACTTAAAATTATTATTTTTGGATCCCGACTATAAAAACAGTGAAATGGTGAAAAAGAAAAGCCGGGAACAAGGCATATCTGTCTTGTTCCTTTGAGGTAACTTTTATCCTGTGGAATGCAGCCTAATATATTTTTCACTTTTTCAGGTTAAAAGTCCTTTTTTAAGGGTGGTATATGTTGTCACAATTGCACATGGTTTAAGGAGATTTGACTCTTGATACAGGAGAGAACATGGGAAAAACAGGAATGATCCACTCGCCTACTTTTAGAACTATTTTCATATATATATATTTATTCATGAGTTTTTAAGATTTATTTTTAAGTCTAAAATCAATGACAATTCCGTTCCTTATTTCCTTTAGGGTGTAACCTTTAGGGTTGAAAATAATGACCTGGTAATCGCCCGAATCCTTCATGGAGGCATGATAGATCGACAAGGTCTGCTCCATGTGGGAGATATCATTAAAGAAGTCAATGGCCACGAGGTTGGAAACAATCCAAAGGAATTACAAGAATTACTGAAAAATATTAGTGGAAGTGTCACCCTAAAAATCTTACCAAGCTATAGAGATACCATTATTCCTCAACAGGTTAGTAATAAGATTCTTGGTAATCTTTACTGTTGGCTATAACTAGCTACCATTTGCTACTCTTTTGCTAAAGAAAAGAGGGGGCAAAACTGTCTGATTTAATTGTTCTGATATGCCTTATTTTGTCACGGGTGAATTTTTGAATTTTTAAACAACCTCATCTTACTACTATGAAGGAATTAGTAAAGAAATCTTTTTGTGAACACCACAAACTGCCATTTCAGTAACATACAGCTAGGTTTAAAAAAACCATAAAGCCTTTTAGTCATTAATCTAGCAAATGTTTTTTGATACTTGTTATGTTCCAGCCCCTGTGAGAGAATAATGTAGTCCCAACCACCTATAGCTTAGTGTACATGGGATGGGCTAGAAGAGCAATTTTCAACCCCTGTGCTGCAAGAATTTTTAAAACATGCAATACCTGGCCCAGCCGGCATGGCTCAGTGGTTGATTGTCGTCCTATGAACCAGGAGTTTACGATTTGATTCCCAGTCAGGGCATATGCCCAGGTTGCGGGCTCGATCCCCCGTGTGAGGTATGCAGGAGGCAGCTGATCAATTCCCTTTTATCATTGATGTTTCTCTCTCTCTCTCCCTCTCCTTTCCTCTCTGAAATCAATTTAAAAAAACAATTTTATTTAAAAACATACAAACAAAAAACTATACAATACCTGAGTATTTACTTAGGGGCACTGACCTCTTTTCCTTTAGATTGTCAGATAAAAAATGACAACAGACAACACAATACCAGTCCGGGGTGAATGAATCAAAACCCCCCCCCCTTTTTTTTTGATCAGCAAAAATATATTTTTTGGTGTGCCGCAGAATTTTAGTAATTAGTTTATGTGTACCATGACATGAAAAAGGTTGAAAATTGCTGGTGTAATAGAATTGTAAAGGAAGAAAAAAATAATGAAGTAATTATTCATTACAAAGAAGCAGTTGACGATTATGGTGAGAATGTTGGAACTGAGGAGAGGGTTTTCAAGCCTAGATAATATAGAAATAGGAAATATCTACCAGTGTTTTAGATATCTTTAATTCACTTTATTCCAGAAATTTGTTTCATGTGTGAGTGAAATTGTGTTTCTTTAAGATGCTACTAGTGTTAAAGGCTAGTTTTTGTATTTCTATGCAATTCTTTGAAATAACATGTTGAATACCTGTTTTATATTGTTATTCAGAGGGTAGGGTACAATATTTAGTCATGATTTTAGTATGTAAATTGGACTTCTTAATATATATATAGTATATATAGGCTTATAATGAACTTTGGTGAAATGAAGGTAGAGACCTTGTCTTCAAGGAAAAGAATCATGAATTGGCACACTTCCATTTGGAAAAGTAGAGCCAAAGATTTACTTTTTAAAATTATGTATTAGTTTTGATACTTAGAAAGATTCCAGCCCCCTGTGATCCAAACTCCAGAATTCTTACAAGCTCACAATGACCATAATGGACTTTTGCGGGAAAAACAGATTTTTATAATATTAATAGCCAGGACTTTGGCCTAAATTGCTCTGTAAATTCTACAGTTGGTGAGCTGATCTGAACGATGGGAAACGCGAGGCCATTTAGCCCCATGTTGGGCCACCTTGGTCTTCCTGCTCATCTCCTCAGCTTGGTGACCGCCGGCTCCACCAGCTTTCCCTTTCCCGAGTTGCAAAGTGGAAACTTTTCTGTGCAGTGAGCTGGATCCAGGGTATAGCTCACCTAGTTTCCACTTTTTAGGAATCACCGTCTTCGTTGTCCAATACCTTGACAAATGTTTCATATATTTTGTCCAGTTTTTTAGTTGTTTCAGATTGGAGGATCCTTGTTATTTCGTCTTAGAAGCAGGAGTCATTTTATCTTTTATTACCATAAAAATTTAATTTTTGAATAAACGAATCATTCCCACAGTTTAAAATTCAAGCAATATAAATTCATAGTCAGTTAAAACCTCCCTCCTAATTCTCTACCAACTTAAACCTCACTCCCTCCATAAGATACTATGCTATTAGTATCTCTCCAGGGTTTCTTTATTCATATGCAAGTAAGTAAAAATTATATATTCTTTTTCCCCTTCCACCTCCTTTTTAATGAAAAGGTTACATAACATAATATGCACACTCTAAACCTTGTTTTTTTGTTTGTTTTTCAGTGAACTGTGTTATCTTGTTTCCTTTTTGGTACATCGTCTGCTTGTTGAAATATATCCCCCCTTTTTTATTTAATATCTGCAGTGTTATATTGCATAGGTTTGCCATCATTTGTTTAATCAGTCCCTATTGTTAAGTAATTAGTTGTGTCTGATCTTTCTCAGTCAGTTGCTAATAGTCTTCTACATAAGTCACTTTGTATACGTCTGCATAGCGTTGCTATTGAATACATTCCCGTAGGCGGGTTGCTAAGGTGGAGAGTTTTTGCATTTGGGATTTTGATAGTTATCGCCAAATTGTCCTCCCAAGGGATTGAACCAGTTTTTTCACCAATCTGTTAGAAAAATGGCCCTTGGCCCATAGACCTAGCCATGGTATATTCACGTATTTGGATTTCTGCTAATCTGACGGGAAGAAATGTTATAATATTATTTTTCTATTCTGAGTGAGGTTGAATATCTCCTCCTGTGTTTAAAAGCCATTTGTACTTCCTTTTCTTTCTTGCATCTTCTTTAGATTGTTAGTCATTCAATATGGGATTGAAATACTTTAGGTTGTGTTTAGCAACTTTTTAATAACGAGTGAATAGTTAACATCCATAGCCTCTTAGTGAAACACTTTAAAATGCACTTAATAAAATGTAATTATACCTGACAAATACCTGATGACTTTAAGCTCATTACAAATGTTTAGATCAAAGATTGGGTTCATTAATTTTTTTTCAGACAAATTTTCAAAGTAAAACCAGTTTAATATGTTCCAAAATTAATTTGATAAATTAATAAATAAAAATTATTTCTTCTAGAAGTTCTTTACATTTGAAAGGTATAATTTTTGTTCCACAAATAATGACATTTTCAGAACAATTTGATGGGAGTAGGGGAATGAATGTTTGAAATTTGGACTTCCTCAGAAAGCTTTATGGTAACAAAACATATTCTGCCACAGATAAGAATAAACATAGGCATGTTTAGATGACAGGGTGCCCTTATTATTCATTCAGTGCAGCTTTCTTGAGAAGTAAGGCATATCCCAGTATTTTTACAACTTTGCATACTCATCTGCCTCATTCAAACCCCTCTATAGTTCTGCTGCTTTGATTTATAATGTTCAGATATGGACAATTCTTTCAGGAAGTAGTTGCTTGACTAAATGAGTGAAGTAATAAGATGGGCCAGTGTTTGTTTATATTTTGTTGATTCATTATCCCTGTAAAGCCTGGCTTTATTTATGCGATGAAAAATGTATTTTTAGAGTGGCATCAGTATGGAGAGGCATCCAGCCCACGTCCGTCAGGTATGCTGTTATTCCAGGGCATTCTCTGCGACTCGGTTTTTCTGTTCTATCAGACAACTAAATCTACCTTGATTGAACTTAATCATTTTGGATTTTCTCCGTTGCCAAATCATTGAGCTGCATGCTATTGTCAAGTTAGTCATTTGTCACATTTTAGGCAAGCTTAATATTACTCGTATGCTTGCATTTAGATATTTCTAAAATTGCAGATCATAAAAAATTATTGGCTTACTGATTTTTTAGGCATTAATATTTACCCTTTCCAAAGTTATTGAAAATGTTCAGAATGCTTTCTTTGAAAATCATCTAATTGTAAATAACTAAAATTTTGTCAAATTTTCCAAATTTAGTTATTTTTAAATTATTTAATATGCATCCACAATATTGCATTTTACTACACTAATAATATCTGCTTGTGTTATTTGAATATCTTGTGTGGTTATATTTATAGAAATATGATAAGTAGAAAAATAACATTATTTTGACTAATTATGTGTTTTCCTGCTTGTTAAAGTTTACTTGCTGATTAATGCTAAGCAAGTTCTTTAGAAGATAAAATTTGAATTTCTATAATATGCATGAAAAAATTGTTTTAAGAAAGTAATCTGTCTGAACTTGCCATCAAATACTGAAAATGCTTAGCTTAATTAGAATTCAAATTAAAGTGACTAAGCAAAATACTGTAGGTACTGGAGATCATAACTAACTGGTAACTGCCATACTTATATTGATAAAACAGATTTAAAAGAAATTTGTATAATTAAATGAATTTAAAATAGTTTCCAGGCTTTTTCAGTATTTATCTTATTTAATACTGATTTAAATCAGAGCAAGGTGGTTCCAGCAAAGTATTTTCCACACTAGTTTTGGCCAGTGTAAGTCTATGTAGTTACCTTTTAAGGTTACTAAATATATTTCGGGTCTGACTTCCACATGAACTTTCATTATTTAATTTTGGTTTCAGAGCCCTTTCAAAAAGTCAGTCCTAATATATCTGAAATATATGCCTTAAATCAACTGCATATATTGTTTAGGATGTTAATGTGGTGCTAATGTTTATTTCATATTTTCTTTTCTGATACCAAATTATTAATGTTCTAATAATTTAATTTTTATTTGAGAGAGACAAGTTCCATAGTTGAAGTATTAAATACATTGTCAATTACAATAAAATCAACATGGTTTGAAAAAGGTTTCAAAAATCCCGTGATAAATGATACATCTATGGTACTTTTAATTGTTTTCATTTCATTGTTTTAATAATACTTTTAATTGTGTGTTTTAGGTATTTGTGAAATGTCATTTTGATTATAATCCATACAACGATAACCTGATTCCCTGCAAAGAAGCAGGATTGAAGTTTTCAAAAGGAGAAATTCTTCAGATTGTAAACAGAGAAGATCCAAATTGGTGGCAGGTGAGTGTGCTGCTCAGAATTTCCTCACCTGCTTTTTTATTTTCAACCTTAATGTGACCAATATCTGCATATTCAGGAAGAAGGTATAAGCATTCGTTCCAATGGTTTTACCTGCATGAACAACTCCGGCTGCAGGGCTGCTAATTTTGTGGACACAGGACCAAATTGAGAGGGAATTTGTGAATGGCTGTTAATAAATGCAGAATTAACCAGCCTGTGGTGCCACTGCTGGTTTAGGGATTAGACCTGTCGGTGCTTCCCCATGGGTGACTGCAGTAAGATACAGAATTAGGCAGGAACAACTCATTTGGGGTCCTCCCTTTTCAGTGTTTTTGTTTGTTTTAACTAAGGAGTCGTTTATTGTGGTTGTAGTAATCTTTCTCTTGTCTCCCTTCCCTCTGAATACTTTCATGGCAGATAAAGCATAATTTTTTAAGCTCTTAAAGCTATTTGCCCACCTCTTTCATTTACTGAGAAATGAAGGCGTGCTTTATTGTCAGTGTTGTTTTTGATCGTGGATTGAATTCTGTGCGTATGGAAAGGATATGTGTTAGCACTGTATTTTGCCCCTTCCGTTTTCCAAAGCTGTGTGATGATGTTCTTCTTCCTCCTTCCCTTAATACAGCTTTCAGAAATCTCTAGCAGCCATAAGTCTGTTTTTGTCATTGTTTACATTGGCCAACAGCCACAGTGTTCAGAACTGGAGAAACTAACAAATCAGAAAGTCTAAACTCCCTTAAACTGTCAGAGTCTCATTGAAGAACAAGCTGTGAGAGAAAGGACCAGGACCCAGCACCAAACTCTAAATCAAACTGAGATATCAGAAACTCACATTAGCTCTAATAAGTTATAGTGACTTCTAAGGGGAATGAATTACAAGGATGAGAACAGTCTCACTGGTGTGTCCTTATATTTACAGCAAATTAAGACATCAATATGTACAAGTGCACTGTGCAACAGGTTAGAAAACTAAGAAACGAGTAAATTAAATAGAATTCATGATTTCAAGAAGTTTCTACTGAATTTCTTAGACTGCTCACCTGAAAAATCTGCCTTCTGTGGCTGTTTCTTTTATTGAACTTTTCCAATATTGTCTTTTTTCCCCCATTTTTTGAATGCCATCTGTCATCTAATCCTTTTCACCATTATCTCAGTTTCTTCCTGCATTTTGTGGTCTATTCCTTTAATTCTTTTTTTTCCCAGGATTTTAATTGCTAAAAATGTACCAGATTTTTTTAATGCTAGTTTGTTATAATAAAGTCACTAACTTTGTGGGAGAAGCCACTAGTAGCCGGTTCTCCAGCCACTATATTAAACTAGCACTTCTTTGGATTTTACTTTGAAAGTTAGTTCTTCACAGTAGGTGAAGTTTTACTCTTTTAGACTTACTGTTTCTCAGGATACTCAGATTGCTGATAGCGTGAATTAAATGCTCCCCTCTGTTTTCCCGATGCTGTCTTTCTCTTTGATTTGGCCTCAGGAAATACCAACATGGTAGGATTAAGGCTGATTGTAATATCTTACTAAAGGATGCTAGATAAAATTTCCTGTAAACACATACACTAGCATTTATTTCTTTCCATTCTTTGACTAACTTGGTGTTAAAAATAAAAAGTTTTAGTAATTTGAAGAGCCTGTGTACTTTTTTATTTTGGTCCCAAACTTTTCTTACAGATGGTGGGTGGGTTGACTAGGTGCCACTTGATTCCTCAGTGCTAAAGTGTTTAAATGACCTGACAGTGCCATGGATTTAAATCTCAAGGTCAGTTTTAAGAGCAAATGTGGTATTTTTTACTGACTACTGCTTGTTCTACTTTTTAGAATATCGTCTCAAGTTTTGGTCACTGAGATATGCAATTCGTTAATTTGATTCTAGGCTAGCCATGTAAAAGAGGGAGGAAGCGCTGGTCTCATTCCAAGCCAGTTCCTGGAAGAGAAGAGAAAGGCATTTGTTAGAAGAGACTGGGACAATTCAGGTGATGAGCTCCACATAATAAGTAACAAGTTGTCCTTTGTGGACACCTTCCTTTGCCTCTTTCATCTGAATTAGCAAGTGAATTTATTTACTGTATGTCTAGAATTAATCCCTCCCATCTATCTGCTCTATTGTGTCTCTCAAAAGTAAACTTTTCGATCCCTTTCTGCCACCTGCTGGTATGGTACCAGAATTCAGTGTGGCTCACCTGCCCCCTTCTGCTTTGTAGGATGCAACACTGGGAAGATCATGCTCCCACCCCTGTCGAATCCACAGGGCAATTGTATCATGTTTTGACATTCAAGTTATATTTGTCTTTTCATCCTTTAGGGCCTTTTTGTGGAACCCTAAGTAGCAAAAAAAAGAAAAAGATGATGTATCTCACCACCAGAAATGCAGGTGTGTTTGCAATACTTTTTGAGAAGTCCAAGTGAAATAGCTTTATAGTGTTAATTGGTGTGGCATAGAGTCTATGTATATAATTTCAATGAATATAATTCAGATTAGTACCCAGTTCAAGGGGTTGGCATGTGAACACATGGTACAATTTAATATGAAGACATTATTTAAATTCTGATGTTATATATGCTTATACTATGACCAATGTGCTTGTTTTATGAGTATAATTTGCAACACAGTGAATTGCTTAGGATGCTTATATTAATAAAGGAGCAATGTTATAATTGAAACTATTTGTTCAGAGAATTTTGATAATTTATGTGTTATTTCTAAAGAGCAAAATGCCTTTATGAAGGTATGAAAGAGTTACGATTAAAGGCAACTATATTCAGGCATAACATTGTCCATGGCTCTTTTGGGAAAATAGTACTGACCAATGAATCTTGGTTCGATCCAGGAGGACTCTTTCTTAAATCTTTTAGACTTAAGGAAAGATAAATAGGACAACTGCTGTCGTTTCTCCTTTCAGTGCAGTGGTTCTCAACCTGCTGGCCCTTTAAATACAGTTCCTCATGTTGTGACCCAACCATAAAATTATTTTCGTTGCTACTTCATAACTGTAATGTTGCTACTGTTATGAATCGTAAAGTAAATATCTGATATGCAGGATGGTCTTAGGCGACCGCTGTGAAAGGGTCGTTCGACTGCCAAAGGGGTCGCGACCCACAGGTTGAGAACCGCTGGTTTAGAGGCTGATAGGAGTGACGTGCAGCTCTGGAGGCTTACTCGAAGGATTGTCAATTTTAAAGCACTTTCTTGACTTCAGAGCTGCCTCTCCACTGGTAATAAACTAAATAGCATACTCTAAGGCAGTGGTTGGCAAACTGCGGCTCGCGAGCCACAGTTTGCCGACCACTGCTCTAAGGGAAATATAATAATAAATTATAATAAATAAGGAGAAAATAGGCTCTTCCTCAACATTGGTTAAGCTGCTATGGGGAAACTGCAAAAAGTTGCTGTTAAAATAACCTAAGGAGTATTCTTACTATAGATTGAGAGTGATAGCTATAATGATGGCAATAGAATATTTCAAACTCAGTTTAGCCTTATTATTCATGAAATATGTGTTCTTAAGTCTTTCTTATAAAATAGAAAATTTGTAATTTCACCATTGACTATGAATATAATTTTGGAATGTATTTCCAGTGAAAATAATTTAGATCCTATATTTTATTTTATACATATTTTCAGAATCTTAATATTTAAATGTCAGTATGTTGTCTATATGCATTTATTAATCAAACTTATTTGCAGAGTCACCAAGATAGTAATTGTTCATTTATGACACTGGAAGGGCACACTCATTCTATAAGGACTTACTCATTGATGTCACTGGGAGGGCACACTCATTCTATAAGGACTTACTCATTGATGTCACTGGAAGGGCACACTCATTCTATAAGGACTTTCTCATTGATGTCACTGGGAGGGCACACTCATTCTATAAGGACTTATTGAAGCAGCCACGCTAGGTATACTGCTGTCCTCCATAGTTGATACACACTTTTTAGCCAAATAAATTATATAAACTATTTGTCACCAGATTATTTATATTAAAGGAATTATTTCTACTCAAGAATTGATAAGAAGGTTTTATGGATAGAATATTTGATAAGGATAAAGCACGGGCATTTTTCTAGGTTGGCTGGACAAATTTTTAAGAAACAAATGGATGGCAGCAGATGTTTAAATCAAACTATAAAATAATTTCTTGTACTTTATCAAATTAATAAAAACAAATCTGTGCTGAGTACAATTCAGGTGATATTTCACTAGCATGCTTATTAAGTCATTACTGAACAGTATAGCAAAAGTTTCTCATCCACATGAAAGACAATTGAATGTGGTGTTTCCCATTTCCTTTACCTGCAGAATTTGACCGTCATGAAATCCAGATCTACGAGGAGGTAGCCAGAATGCCTCCCTTCCAGAGAAGGACATTAGTACTAATAGGAGCTCAAGGTGTGGGACGAAGAAGCTTGAAAAACAGGTTCATAGTATTGAATCCCACTAGATTTGGAACCACGGTGCCATGTAAGTTGTGTGTTTTCTTCTCTGTTTAATTGGCAAGAAAATGTAGTGGGGGCAGATAATTGTGATCTTTAGTCCCAAATAGGTTTTTATTCTGTCAATGAAAACAAGCAAATAGAAGATATTGGCAGCTACTCTACGGCCGTCTGGAGGTAGCACTATTCCCGTCAGCCTGCCCCCTGGTGGCAGTCGCTCCTCCAAACTCTGTAGTTCAGAAATGCTAAGCACAAGTAGTAAGAGTTGTGGCAAAAGCAGCATTAACTTTGTAGTTTCTTTTACTTCCGATGTCTATGTGAAAAGTTGTATTTTTCACCCATTTTGGTGTAAAGAAAAGGGAGAAACCTGCTGGGTCCTCAGTCACCTCTCAGTGTGGCAATCCCTTTAATTTGTGTGAGCCTGCACGGTCATAGACCTGGTTTCGGAGAGCACAGCAGGAGGGACTCATCTTCCAGGGCAGGCAGCATTCATTAAGGGCACAGAGATTGATAGAGAAAATAAAACGATGCTGATGGGAAGTATAACCAAACACTCATTTTATGATTTTTGCATTCTTTCCTTATTTGCATATCTACATGGAAAGTTCAGTAGTATTGTCAGAAGTATGCTTGATGAGAGTGGGATTACATCAAGGAGTGAGATGATATCACTGACTTATTATAAGGACTAATACACATTTGCTTTATTTCGAAGATGCACTAGCCTTCCCTTCTCGGAACTTACATGTTCTGTCCCTGAACAAGGCAGGAGACGAGCCAGTGTTGCCTCTGTAGGTCCCCTTTCTGTGCCGCTATTGCTGCCCCCTTCGTGACTAACACAGTATTTCTTAACGTATATTAGTGCCCTTAAGCTGTCCTGAGTCAGATCATAGCCTAATGTCACTCCATCTCTTTTCGATGAGTTTTAGAGTTTCTCTGTTATCCAGCTTGTTTTGAGGTTTAATTCTCGGTGAGTGATCTCATTGCTGAAGTTCTTAGGGCTTGGTTGGAGGAGTAACCTTATTGTTGCCCTCATGTGCTGTTTGTAATCCCTTCAGGGGAAGGCTTTCCATTGTAAGCACATGAATCACGAAACTCAGACAAACCCTAGTTCAGTAGTTATTAAAGCCTCACTGTGGTCAAAGAACTGTAAAGTATTTTATTTTCAGCAAGTTAATACATGTACCATATTTTAATCAAGTAGTACTTAAATAATGGAAAAAATAACCCCCTATTTTCCTCTACCCCCGCCTTGGGCCTACTTACTAGAAACAGTTGCTTCTCTTTCTTTTTGCTATTTCTTCTGATAGCCTTCCCGATTTCTTAATTGTCTTCATTCTGCCTTGTCCAGTGAGGGCCTCGTCTGTTGACTTCCTGACTGTCCTCCAGCATAGCGGTAACTCTAGTTTCAGTTAACCCCGTTTTGTTTTCTTGCACAGCCTCCCCTTCTTCCCCTACCCAGCCATCACTAGACGTCCTGTTTTCTTCTCTTTACCTTGGTTTCATGTGTATAGTTTTGATTTAAGCCAAAGACTCACTTATCTATGAAGCCGTGACTTTTGCTTGGAGACCTCTGACTCAGACCTCAGTCCTTTTACTAGTGAGCACCGTGGGCTGTGTCTCGACTGCCCCGTGTGGCCACAGCGATGTCTTTCCTTTTGCTGCTGTCCAGGCTCGAAACTGTTCCTGGGCCCCATTCTCCTTTCTGGGTTTATTGCCTTGTTTTGCTGGCACATCCTCTTGTAACTTCACAAGAAATGGTGTATGGGATGTCATTTGTGCATCTTTGTATTTGAAGATATATATTTTCTGCCCTATATCTGATGGATTATTTAGCAGAGAGTAGAAATTCTAGATTGTAAAACTCAAAAGATGTAGCTCTTGAATCCAGTTCTGTTAAGAAGTTCACTGTCAGACCTAGCCGGGTTAGCTCAGTGGATAGAGCATCGGCCTGCAGACCAAAAGGTCCCGGGTTCATTTCCAGTCAAGGGCATGTACCTTGGTTGCAGGCTTCTCCCTGGCCCAGGTCCTGGTCGGGGCACGTGCAGGAGGCAACCAGTTGATGTGTTTCTCTCACATCAATGTCTCTGTCTTTTCCTCTCTCTTCCACTCTCCCTAAAAAAAAAAAAAAAAAAAAAAAAAAAATCAATGGAAAAATATCCTCAGGTGAGGATTAACAAAAAAAGGAAGTTCACTGTCATTGAAATTCTTATTTTGGCCCTAGCTGTTTTGGCTCAGTGGATAAAGCATCAGCCTGAGGACTGAAGGGTCCCGGGTTCAATTCCAGTCAAGGGCACATACTCGGTTGTGGGCTCGATCCCCAGTAGGGGGCGTACAGGAGGCCGCCGATCAATGATTCTCTGTCATCATTGATATTTCTCTCTCTCCCTCTCCCTTCCTCTCTGAAATCAATTAAAAAAAAAAA